GGGCTGCATAGATAACTATTCAGGTACACGTGCAGCTACTTGGATATCCTTCACAGATGGCCACTTGTTTGGATTTTCTCGGTGAGATATACATTATGAATCATGTGCTGCCTGTAGAGTAGTATTGTTCTCAATTTCATTCATTTTGTTCCTCAGAACGGCTTTATAGCATGGAAATTTTCAAATGTGCAAAAATAGAGTATCTCAGCACTTGGAGGCTGAGGCAAGAGGACCATTGTGAGTTTGAGACCAGTGGGACCCTGTCTCAAAAAGACAAAAAGGGGGCCTAGGTTATAGTTCAGCAGCATAAGCGCCTGCCTGGCAAGTACAAGGTCCTGAGTTCAATACCCAGTAATGAAAAAAACAAAAGTGAAAATGGTATAATAATCCCATTTCTTAGCTTCAGTAAGTATGAATATGGTGTCTCAGTTACTTTTCTCTTGTTACTGGGACAAAATACTTGACACCCAAAATTAAGGAAGGAACTTTTTTTTATTTTATTATTATTATTTGTATTTTAGGGAAGAGTCTACAGAGTGTTCAGGGTTTCAACACTAGATCAGACTCCTAGTGATCCACCTGTTTACAGCCTGCCAAGAGCTGGGATTACAGGCGCAGGCCACCACATCCACTCTCAATTGCTGTCTCAGTGTGCCCCAGGGAATGGACGGCACGGCATGTCCAGGGAATGAACTCCCAGCCCTTGCACCTGCTTGCAGGTGCTTTATCTGTTGAGCTATTTGGCTGATTCAGGAACCATTTATTTAGCTCACAGTTACTGGGGGCTTCAGTCGATACTCAGTTGACGTCAAGGCAGAGTGGCACATGGCAGAGGGCAGCAATTCATGGTGGTGGAAAACAAGAGCAAATGGGAGTTATAGCAGCAACAATGGTAGCAGAGAGCAAGCCTGTCTCCCTTATGTTGCATTCAGTCTTTCTGCCCCAGGCCAGGTGTAGCACTCATATCCATAATCCCAGTAACATTTACACCCATAATCCCAGAAGCACTCACACTCATAATCCCAAAAATGGATCATACATTAATCAGAAACTCTAAAAATTTGCCCCACAACTGCATGAGACTTTGGGGGAACAACTAGATACAAACCATAGCATGTGGATAACTTTGTTTCACCTGTACTCCCTCCATTCCTGTCCTACCTTCTGACTGGATTATTTTGAAACAAACACCGTGGTATCTTTAACGGTGAAACTTGAAAAAATTTTAGAGATAAATCAAAATGCTACTAGGAAAAAGAACAGCCATAATAAAGGTTTGTCAATTCAAATATCCTCAGTTAACACACTCAGCCACCTTATCTTTGACAAAGGGGCCAAACATACTCACTGGAAGAAAGATAGCCCCTTTAACAAATGGTGCTGGAAAAACTGGCTCTCTACATGCCGAAAACTAAAACTTGACCCAGGTCTATCACCATACACTAAGCTAAAGTAAAAATGGAGTAAAGATCTAAACATTAAAGCAGAGACACTAAATCTGGAAGAGAAAGTAGGAAGAACTCTTGAAGACATAGGGGTAGGCAAAGAGTTCATGAACAGAAATCAAATTGCTTGAAAACAGTTGAAAGAATTAACAACTGGGACCTGCTGTTACTGAGAAGTTTTTTCACGTCAAAATAAGTTACCAACAAAGTGAAAAGACAACCCACAAATTTGGAAAAAATCATGACAAATAAGTACTCAGACAAAAGTCTGCTCTCTAGAATCCCCGGTTCTGCAAAAAACAAACAAACAAAGACATACTAGAACCCCAAAATTTAAAGAACCAGTCCATAAATGGGCACCTGAGATGAACACACTTCTCAGAGGATGAAATTAAAGAAGTGAATAAATATATGAAAAAATGCTCCACATCATTAGCCATTCGTGAAATGCAAATTAAAACAACATTGAGATATCATCTTACCCCAAAAAGAATGGCTATCATAAAGAAATTACCCAACAACAAATGTTGGAGACGCTATGGGGATAAAGGAACGCTTCTCCACTGCTGGTGGGAATGTAGACTGGTGCAATCATTATGGAAATTAGTATGGAGACTCCTTAGAAAAGCTGGACTGGAAATCCCATTTATTTATTTATTTTTTTTATTTTTTATTTTTTTGCAGAACCGGGGATTGAACTCAGGCCCTTATGCTTGCCAGGGAAGCG